CTTTAATTTCATTTTTTACTATTTCTAAAAAACTTTTTTAATCATTTTAAATGTTATTTATTTTGAGAGAGAAAAGAGCTCAAGCAGGAAGGGGCAGAGAGGGAGAATCAGCAGACTCTGGCGCTGTCAGCACAGAGCCCAACGCTTAACAGACTCACAAACTGAGATCATGACTGAGCCAGAATCAAGAGTCAGATGCTTAACTGACTGAACCACCTAGGGGCCCTAAGCTTTATAATTTCTTATACCTGAAAGTTTTAAAATTTGCATCTACATATGTAAAACACTTAGCTATGCTTTCTATATCTTGACAGTTTATAATTTATCTTAACATACAATAAAGTATGGGACAAGAACAGAGACAGAGCAAGGTGGGAGGGTATGGTTTGTTTGTTTTTGTTTATTTTGAGAGAGAGAGAGAGGGCATTGAGTGTGAGTGGGAGAGGGCAGAGGAGACCTAATCAGAAGAGCAGGCTTCAGGCTCTGAGTTGTCAGCACACAGCTCAAAGTGGAGCTCAAACTCACCGACCACCAGAATGACCTGAGCCAAGTCAGACACTTAACTGACTGAGCCATCCAGGTCTCCAGGCCCCGGGAGGGTAGTTTTTATACTTCATTAAAATAGGAGAATCTGAATCTCATTAAAACAACAATGACCTAGTACTTACTTTATTTAGGCATTTTATGGGTATTAGGGATAAAAACGTGGGAGGATTAAGCTATAAGTTTCTGTCCTCAAGGATCTTATACTCCTGTTAGAGGAGGAGAATTCTAAATAAATAATTGATACAATGCAATCAATGCACTAATTGAGTATTATTTTGTGAACACAGAAGAGTGAGCTGGGATAAAGACAGAATCCAGGATCCAAAGATAATACTTCTGTTCTATATTAAAGGAATGGGGGTAGGATTTTGACAAGAGAGGCCTAGAAATGGTAATTAAGACAAAGGAAACATACCTATGGAGTATGCTGATGCACATAGGGCTTAATAAAAAATGTTTTTGTGGATGGTGAGGATAAATATCTGCTATTGGCTGTGATCTTGAGTGGTCATTACTTTCTAGGGACGCCTTCTAGGAACTGGGGAAGATAGAGTTACCATAACTTCTGCAGTTATATTTGCAGTTGATATGAAAGAGTTTGATGTGTTTAAGGCATGGCCGGTGGTTACCACAATTTGAAGCCTTGAGGAATAGCAGGAAATGAGGATTGGGGCTAGCTTATGAAGGGCTTTTATGTAATGCTAAGAAATTTGTTTTTTTTTTTTTCCTGCAAGTAGTGAGCTGATGATCCTGAACCAGGAGAGTAATATGACCAACCTTTATTTTATAGAAACATTAATACCTGGTTGTTATGGTAGATTTAGGAAGGAAGAAGAAAGACCAAAAAAAGAAAAGGCCAATCCATATGAGGGTTTAGGTCTGATTAGTGGAATCACATAAAATGTCTATAATAGTATTATGTTTTATTGAACAGTAATAACAGCCAATCTCAGTCTATTTACTGTTACTTCTTAAACATAGTTTTAACAAATAATTAGAAGCAGCAGATTGAAGGGTCCAGGGGTAACTGAAAACTATCACAAGATACCACAACTTGAACAGGAAGAAAGCAATGTACAGTTTTGTCTTTTTGTTTCTTTAAGATTTTGTAACAGGTTGAGCCACTTGTGAAAGTATCAATAAGTCTACACAAAGTTCTGAGGTCTATGTTTCAGTGATAATAATGAGTTATAAAGAGTTCACTATATTATTTTAAGTGAAATGAGTTCATTAAAAAGTCTGTATGTTAATGTTAAAAAAAACTGGAGATATTTAAAAGGATAGATTACAGTTATCATACAGTTACTTTTATAGAATATTTTAAGCTGAAGTGAGTTGAAAAAAGCAAGAACAGTTTTGGAAGCTCGGGGTGTGCAAGGAACTTTACACATATTATCTCTTTAATCCTCACAACAACCATAGGAGGTAGATGTTGCAATCCACATTTTAAAATAAGAACAACCAAAGTTCAGAGAAGGTGGGGTCTGTTAGGTGGCAGTGGTTGAACTGAGTTTTAAACAAACTAATCTTAAGTATCAGGAAGAAAAGTTAGAGATCAAAAGGTGAAAAGAAATTTATAATTAGCATCTAAAAAGCCAGAGAAGTGTAGTTTTTTTAGAAGGAAAGGGCAATCAATAGTATCAGATTTGAAAGTTAACTAATATAAAATTAAGAAAAGATCATTAGAATTTATTGTTTTATTCCCTAAGCCATATATGTAAGATAGGTAAAAAAAAAAAGACAATTAAAAACACATAAATAGGTAGAACTGTTCTGTTTTATTATTTGAGGATAATACTTTATATAAATACTTTATATTTGAACTGTAACACAAAAGTTTTTTAAAATTTTTTTACGTTTGTTGATTACAATTTTATTTATAATACCAAGATATGAGGCTAACCTAAGTGTCAACGGATGTTGGATAGCTAGTTGGATAAAACATCAGGCTAGCTATTTAGCCCCAGCTAGCTTAGCCTTAGCTTAATAACTAAGCACAACTACACATATAGATATAGACCTATAAGACCCTTGGATATAGACAGACATAGATGCCGATTGGCCCTTGAATAACATGGGGGGTTAGGGGCACTGACTCCCTGCACAGTCAAAAAAATTTATTGTAACACAAGTTTAAATGCATTTCTTGTTTCAGTTATCAGATTTCTTGATGAGCAGCTTCTTTCTGTTTGGTCCAGATTCAAAAGCAAGACTGCAGGTATGTATCTATGTATATATTCCATATATTAATACTATATTTTTTATGTGATATAACTGTCTTAATGTGATATAATAATAAAAAGTATCAAAATGTTTTGGAGGGCACCTGAGTGGCTCAGTGGGTAAGTATCTGACTCTTTTTTTGATATTGGCTTAGGCGGGTTGTGATCTTGTGGCTGTGTTTTCTACTGTTGTGAGATTGAGCCCTGTGTCTAGCTCTGTGCTGAACATGGAGGCAGATTCTCTCTACCTCTCTCCTGCCCCTCTCCCACTTGCCCCTTCCCTTCTCTCTCAAAATAAATAAACCAACTTTAAAAAAAGTTTTGGAAAAAGTACTTCATTATTAATATCTGGAGCATGTTTATTACTTTTTAAAGAAACATTTTTTCTTATTTCTATATGTTATAGTAAAATTAAGATTCTTAGTTGGAGAATTGAATATTTTCATTAAGTAGTTTTATAGCA